AGCGATAGACCTGGGAGACAAATGAATAGAAATGCTGCATGGCCAGCAGAAAAAGGCGGACACCAGCAGTGACAGACCTGGGAGACAAATGAGTAGAAACGTTGCATCGCCAGCGGAAAAGGGCAGGCACCAGCAGTGACAGACCTGGGAGACAAACGCATAGAAATGTTGCATGGCCAACGGAAAAGGGCGGGCATCACCAATGACAGACCTGGGAGACAAATGAATATGGCCAGCGGAAAAGGGCTGACACCAGCAGTGACAGACCTGGGAGATAAATGAATAGAAATTGAAATGCTACATGGCCAGTGGAAATGGGCGGACACCAGCAGTGACACAAAGGACATCTTAAGAAAGAATTGAGGAGAACCCCTAACAGTAAACTGTTTGGGGGAAAAGTGGGAGACAAATGCAAGGAAGTGGGAGACAAGCCGGCCGGAAACCCGACTACAAGCACCCAGCCTGGGAGACAAATGAGAAGAAGTGGAGACAAATGAAAGACAAGCCAGCCGGGAACCCGACCACAAGCACCCAGCTTGGGAGACAAATGAAAAGAAGTGGGAGACAAATGAAAAGAACTGGGAGACAAGCCGGCCGGGAACCCGACCACAAGCACCCAGCTTGGGAGACAAATGAAAGGACGTGGGAGACAAGCCAGCCGGGAACCAAGGCGACCATTCTTTAAAGCATTGAGAACCCCTAACAGTAAACTGTTTGGGGAATAAAAATATCCGAAACCATCATATTGAGAGGGTTTGTCCACCCTGGCAACAGAGAATGCGTCTCTGTCCTGCCGCAAAGCCAACGCCTGGCGCCACACGACCCGTCGTCGCTTTCAATCGCGACGCACGTCGCGGCGTTCGCACGTTGTGGGAAGACGACCCTGCAGGTCTTGGTTCGGAGTTGTTCATTCAACTGGTGGATTGCGGGTCCGGTTCAACGGACTGTTGCAGTTTCGTCTTGGTGCTGTTGAGAGTCGCCAAAGCTTCGCAGCAAGATTAGATCATGTTTCATGATGCTCTGCCAAAGGCGGCAAGAATAGTCGCTTCTTCCACCGAGATCGACGTTAGGGTGATCTTAAGCCTCCCAGGCCTGCCGCTCTTGAAACCACCAGGTCGTGCCTGGTTCCAACCCCTTGGACGGTTGTGTTCCAACCTGGTTCACCTGTGGACCCATGGTTCGCCTCAGCAAGGCACCTGTTTCAGGCCTTTCAAGGCACCGCCCCCCCTCTCCATCTCTTAGTGAAAGGTTCCTTCACCCGGAACCAAACCTCCAAAGCGTTTAACTCATGCTATGAGTGATGGCCAAAAGATATTTCAAAAGAGTATTGTTGTCCTTTTGGGAGAAGAACCCATTTTGATGATCACTCTTAACACATCTCCGTTCGTCCCATCGCCTAAAAAGGACCTGAAGACCAGCGTCGCCTGTCTTCACTTTGCTCAACAGTCCATTGAGCCCCCAGAAAATGCTGGTCCCCTTTCTCAATGTGAGAGTCCATGTATGGCGTTCAATTGTCGAATGGCTCAGGTACAGATGTTCACATACCTCCCATAATGCTGTTTGGCTGAGCTGATGCAAGGCTTAAAGGCCCAGAAAAAGAATCGTGAACAAATATCTCAAGATATCTCAAGGAATCTGCGGCAGAAGACCTCCCCCTCCCCTCATTCCTGAAGATTCCATGGGTTCGAGTTCATCGAGTTCAGGTATATGAAAAGTGCTTGAGTCTGGAACAGAAGGCCCAAATCTTCAACAAAAGGCTACTGTGAAGCCAGGCCATCTGCCAAGCCCTTGAGTTTCTGAAACTATGCCCACTTCGCAGCGTCCTTTTGTCACAGCAAAAGCCCAAGAACGTTCTTGACGGCATCTACATCCCATCCCTACATCCTAGATCCTCACAGCTTAAAAAACCCATGGCGCACGCCCATATGGCCCATCCTGGCCCATCCCCTCACTCCAGCTCCGCCTCCTTCGCAGCGGCGCGCGCCGGCGCCGGCCTCGGGCGGCTCCCGGGCTCGATCGGGGCTCGATCGAGGGAGGACCGAGAGGGAAGGCTGCACACTCCGACGAACACATGGAAGTAGAACGACCGAGCCTGTTTGTAGAGGAAACTAGCCTTCCAAGGGCCCATTTTCCACTTCCATGTTAGTGAGTCAGAGTGGATTGTGCTATGGGTTTTTCCTTTCCAGAGGAAACGCTTAAGGCAAAATATGGCCTTTGTTGTTCCTTTCAGGGAAGCTGTTTTCAGCCGGGATGTTTTTGTATTCAGGGCTTTGGATTTGGGGATGGAAAGAGCTAGGCCAGCTGTTTGTTGGAAATTCTAGAGGTTGAAGGTGTCCTTTTGGGGGGGTGTCATCAATTGTATGAAGGTGCCGGCAGGAAGCCCCTTCGATTGAAAAAGACATCAAAAGACCTCTGAGCTGCTCGGTTTTTTGGGGGACAGCACATCAATTCCAGGGTTGGTCCCGGCGATGGGGGGTGCCGATGCCCTAGTCAAGAACCCCACTGTTCGCAATCGACCTTGACCACGGGTCGACTTCAATTTTTGTGCAATCGACAGAACCCTATAGGGGGAGAACCAAGTAATTTGCGCGATGGCAACAATGTTCCTTTGAGAACCGTTCCCGGAGCACTCTGATTCCAAACCCTATGTTGAACCGCCTCTGGTCAAATTCAAGTCTTTGCGTGATTTTGCACACGCTGCATACTGCAATAAGTGCAATAGAGATGTCACAAAAAATGCCCAACCGAGCCCATCATCCCGGATCATCCAGGGGATATACAACACACCCAAACACTCTCCCACCCTCCATTTAGATTGACCAAACAGTTCGCGTCTGATATATGTCCCCGTTCCCCTTCTGATGTGTCCCGCCCGGGTGCCTCAAGTCGAACTGTTCCACGAGTCTGTTCGTGCCAAAAGTGGTGCTTGACAATTTGCAGGTCTGAGAAACACAGACCAGATGCACCCAGAAAGACGGTGCACCGAAGCGGCGGTATCGCCGTCGGACCCAAACCGTTGACACCTGCACCAGACCGTGGAGTCCTCGAACCAGAGAAGATGGAGATGTTCTACACAGACCTCGGAACAGAAACTAAATCCCCCTCAAAGAAAGATGTTTTAGGACTCCTTCCATTTTGAGTTGGGACTCTGACCAAAATGCGATACTTGTATAAGGTCTTTGGTTCCTTCACGGTGGGGTCTAACTTGTAGACCTGTCCAACCACCCGCGGCCTGCCCCACTGCCCCATTCTTGCCAAGCCCGTTGCTCGTTCCTGGCCAGGTAAACCTTCGCCTCAGCAAGCTGCGAGGGACGTGGGTCACAGACATATGAGGTACAGACTGAAGGCATCGAAGTGAGCGAACGGATCCCAACAGAATCGGTGTTTGTGATCTGATCGTGTTTGTGGCCTGGGTCCTAGTTTGTGGGGCCTTCTGGCGGTCTGCACATTGTGGTTTCTAAAACTCCGCATGCACTCTGTGAGGTGCAACTTGCACAAAGGCCATGAAGGTGTGAAAGTCACATCGCAGCCGAAGTCGGCCACAGCATCAACCCTTTTCAAAGTTGGGGAAGGCCATCCTGCAACAAACACTCACGGGATGCTCCGTGCAAGTCCAGTCTTTTCTCACCAATGTAGACTCTTGATGATATTTCACCCCCATATGAAGAGGATTTCCAACTAGGCATCTAGGCCCAAAGCCTTTTGCCTTAGGGCACACCGGGTTCCCGCGGCCCTGCTGCTCGCTGCGAAGCGAGGGTGGGGCGTCCACAAAGGTCTGTTGACCGACCCGCCACGGACCTTTGTGGTAGCTCGTGACTTCGTGCGCCATGGTCGAGGGCTTGCGCCGATGGCATTCGGCGGTTGAGAGGATGGTCGATGAGCCCTGGAGGGGACGCATCAAAGCGTTCCTGAATGATCACCACACGGCATCCCACTTGATCCGACATGATGGGAAGGTGATCATTTCAGGTTTGGTTGCGATGGCTACAGAAGCTGCGCTGGAGCTTGAGCCCTTCGAGTTCAATCCTGGACGTGGGTATGTCGTACCTACAAATGGATTGCCAAAGGTGCGTGTCACAGTGCCAAATTTGAACCGGAGGTCACTGACACCCGCTGTTGGAGATCACATCACATGTGTGGGGACACAAGTGGTTGGTGGGCAATGGAGCTCCCTTGCTTTGGGTGTTGATACAGTCATTGTTTTTCGCCCGAAGTTGGTTGACTCCGAACCTCTGAACGTATTGCATGTGTTTGCTGGCGCTTATGGAGGCTGGACAAGAGCATTGCATTGGTTGTCGAGCAAGGTGCCTGCGATTCAGATTGCACACGAACTGTTCATAGACAACGACGAGAGGATCATGAAGGTATGGAGCTGCCAATATGGAACGACCCATCATCAAGGACGGACTCCGAGCACTGCCACCGTTGATCTGAGGCTGAAGACTGGAATTTGCACTGGAGTTGATGACCTTTCATTGCTTCATGCTTGGCCACATAGACACAACAGTGTCATGACGGATTCGCCTCCGTGCATCTCCTGGTCTCAAGGAGGCCGCAAGCAAGGGTTTAGCTGCAGTAGTGGGTATGCCATGATCGAAACGATCATGTTGATTGAGGTTCAACAGCCGCTGCTCCTCTTTTTAGAAGGGGCGGATTCGACAGTTTCGCATGAGCACTTCCCCATTTTGGAAGCCCTTCTTGACCTGGTTGGATTTCATCGTGTTTGGCAACAGGTTGTTCACATGCACCAACTTACGCATAACCAGAGGTCCAGGTGGCTTGGAGTGTGGGCTCGTCATGATCTGGGTTTGAAGCCGCATGAAACTGCCTTTGAACTTCGGGCCCCTCCATTGGTGTCTTGGTGTGATGAGCTCAATTCCTTTTGGACACCTGAATCGTTCCACCACCAGCTTCGTCTGACCCAAGATGCTATGGAGAAGTACGGTAATCCGGGACTACTCCCGCCAGCCAAGCGTGCCAGGACCACAATGCTCTCTTCGACTGAGGTTTTGAATCTTCGATTGGCAGACAGAACGCATCCTTTGCCGACCCTTTGCTCATCTTACACACGCCAGCATCTTTTGCAGGTCGACCATGTCATGACTAAGGGCATTTTTGCTGCACTCGAAATGAGGGATGGGTCATTTTGCTTTACATGCCCAACCAGGTTCGTGCCTCTCTTTGGAACCACCGCAAAGATCACTCTCCCCAGTGATGCGTCCTTTGCATTCCATATTTTAGGTAATGCCATTTCGCAGTCTCAGGCCACTCTCTGTCTCGCAGTCGGTGTCGGAGCCCTCTTTGCTTTGGATTTGAACCCAGTCCGCCTGGTTCGTCAAGCCTGGACAGACCGTCTTACGACCAGCAACTCGCTTGTTCAGGTGTTCGAGCAGTGGTTAACCATCAGCCGTGTTGAAGACATAGCTTCTCAGATGCCGCGCCGCGTCTTGCCAATGTCATTCGCTGGGCCTGCTGTAGCTCTCCAACTTGTGCACCAGTCGAAGCAACACGAGTGGTATGCTAAAGTCCCAGCTCAGGCCACCCTGACCACTGTTGTGATCCTCACGATGTTCACTAAGGGACTTCGCCCTGAAGCACTAAGGTTCCATGCGACTGATGGGACTCTACTACAGGACATTCCAATTGCCGATGCCTTGGCTACTGCCTCACAGATCGAATGCCTTTTATGGACTTTTCCTCTCCTGCTGATTCGCGCTCAATCACCTCCAGCGGCCTCAAGGCCTGCACCACATGCTGATGAGATACCTCCCACGGTCCCTTTTTCAGCTCGTGAGGACGAATCATTGATCATTGCTCTTGACTCAAGCCCCGCATACAGGCTGTCACCAGAGCTCTTTCAAGAGATGCTATGCTTTCTCGAGTTCAACACTCGCTGGGCTCTTCCAAGCAACAGCAACAGGCAAATTGTGTCCCTTCTCTGGGAACCTACCCTGGGAGTGCTCACCATTGCACTCGACTCCACTGTACCAGCAGCGGACCTCCAAGAGCAGCTGGCAACCCATTTTGGACCCCACAAGCACATGGTCTACCAGAGCCCCTTCCCGATTCGCAAGATTGCTCCAGGCCCTCTCTTCACTGTGAGGGACCGCAATCACTCCAACAACGCGTTGGTCATGTTCCAAAAATTGCAGACTGAAGTTTGGGTGAGGGCGCATGTTGTGCCCAAAGAAATCGAGCGATCCACCAAGATCACTACGCAGGAAGGTCTCTTCCAGATCGTGCACCACAATGATCGTCCATGCACAGGGGATCGACTTCACCTGGCCAACGGAGACTGGTTGCTGATCGAGCCTGTTCTCACTGATGTTGTTGTAGGTGGCCATCACCGCTGGACCACCAATCCTGAAGTCCTACCAAGAGGAGCCAACTTCACGGACAGGATCAGCTTCAGTATCAACACCCACGGTTGGGCTGCGTCGGATGAACTGCATGCTGCTATGATGTGGCTTCTTCGCCGATTCCCCGAGACAATTGCCGAGTTCAACATTCTCCAATGGCACACTGCTGAACAGGAATTCAGTGATGAGCTGTATGGAGAGCCACGCTTTGCAGAGAGTGGACGAGCAGTCACAGCTGTGCTAGTCGACAACCACTGGGCAGCAATCGAAGTCAACATCATTGGCCATCACACACAAGTCCACACCTTTGGACTGGGCGCCAACCTTGCCCAACGAGCAATGCACATGATCTGTAGACGTATGGATGTCACACCCCAGCGTGTGCAACAACACATCCACCCTGCACAGCCTCCGGAGCATTTGTGCGGTTGGTTTCTCCTCCAGCGCTACTACATCTTATGCCAGGCCTTGCATCAGCTTCCTGATACTATGAATCAATTCAATGACTTGCCTGCATTTCGACGTGGTGAAATTCGTGAGGCATGGGAAGCAGCTCAGGAAGATTGGCGCAGAGCAGGGGCATCTGACAATCTGATGCACTTCGCTACTGCCCTCCGCACCAACTTCTTGGTCAATCTTGCCATTACAGCCACCCGTGATTCATCAGTTGTCAATGTCCCACTGCACGTTCAGTTCCCGGCGCAATTGGCACCCACTGCAAGACCTCTACATACAGGGCAACAAGCAGCACCATCACAAGCCCAAGACACACCTGAAGCAGCGCCACTTCAGCCAGCGCCCATCGATCCGGCACCACAGCAACCAGACAGAGTCCACATCAGACTCCTTGAGTCGCTCGGCAGGCCTGGTTGGCTCTCCTCTGACACTTTGGACCACGCCCTTGAATCGCTCCGCTGGCATTGTCCGCAGATATGCTTTTGCCCCCCGGCCCAGTGGATTTCTGATGATCAGTCTTTGCGTTTCCTGGCCGGCTTGGAATGCCTGCATGACACGTTTAGTCAGATTATTCTCTTTGTCCTCTGGAGAGAGCATTGGATCCTGTGTGAACTCCATGTCCATGCATGGGAGGTATTCATTCAGACTGTTGGCCCCATTGAGATCTTGCCTGACTTGCACCTCCTGGTTGCTGCAGTGTGTCGACTCTTCCGGCTCCACAACCTTGTGTTGAATACCGCTGCAACCCACTTCGCAGCTCCTGTTGGACTTTGTGGCTGGTCGCTGCTTCGAACTCCCCTTCGACGCTTCCAAGTCCCATTACCTCAGCTCAGCCAGCCGTGGCTTGCTGCACTGCGTGTTCACAGGCTGCAAGCTCTTATCCGGCAAGTTCAAGTTGCAGAAACCAATCTTTGGGAGACACAAGGTGACCCTGATTTGCTGCAGTTTGCCTCTGGCATTGCGCTTGAATTCCTTGTGCACATCATTCAAAACCGCTTTCCCAATGAGAGGAATGTTGGAGGGGCCTTGAACGATACAGGTCATCAGCTGCCTATTCCACATCTGCCCCCGGTTGGCTCTGCTACTCCGCAGTTGCGAGTCCAAGAACGTCTCAACCTGTTCGACACTCGCCCTGGCTGGCTCTTTTCAGACACGGCAGATTACCTCTTGGACTTTCTGCGTGAAGCGGATCCGGACACAGTATACCTCCCACCAATGCAGTGGACTTCTCAGGGTGTTTCGGCATTCAATGACTTGTGCTCGCCAATTCAAGCTTCTCAGAAGGCCATTGGTCTCATTTTGTGGGAGCAGCATTGGATTCTTTGCGAATTTCAATCCACGGTGTGTGCAAGTTGGCTCTTTCTGACTGGACCACCAGAACTCCGCCCTCTTGCTGTTCAGTGTGCTACTGCCGTGTGCCAGCACTTAGGAATTGAACCGGTCCCACATGTGGTTTGTCGTGACTTCCATGCTCACCCTCATTTGTGTGGGTGGACCTTGTTGTGGCTCTGCTTTGAAAAGGTTGGCATCCAGGTCCATTATCCTGGGCCATTGCATGAGGCATCCTTTCTTCGCAGCATCCATCATGTTGATGTCCAGAGGGTCCTGACAAATGCAACTCTTGCATGGCAACAACCGGACATGCACCAGGCTGCCTATTTTGCCATGCGACTGCTCCCTTGGCACATTCTCCAAGTCTTGCAAGGCCGATTTCCTGATCATCAAGCTGCAGGAGGTGCTGGGGACGCCAAAGCAGCTGCAAAACCAAAGGGCACTCCTCACAGCGGAGCAGACCCGCTCATGGCACATGACCCATGGGCCAAAGCAGCAGCGGCATCCTCACGATGGGCGGACTTGAAGTTAGAAGATCAGCACCCTTTCCAAGACAGCAAAGGAGACCAGCTATTGCAGTATCACAGACTGCAAACCACAACTTCCACCAAGGGTGTGGTCTTAGCCACCAAGCAATGTCTGCCAGAGCTTGTCAAGCTCAATCCAAAACAACCTTTGGTTGTCATCCTGCCGCTTATTGACCAGCAAACCAAGGCCAACAGCAACCTGACTTTCCATGGTCCCTTTGAGGTCGTCCTGGAAGATCGAGCTACCAAAGCCTCCTACAAGAGAGTGGTCTCAGCTGTTGCCATTTATGGTGAATTCCAGTACAAGCTTCGTGAACCAACTTGTGAATTCACAATGTCGGAGATTGCCGAGTTGGTTTTAGAACTGGACTCACGGTTAGTCCCCAAACACGAGTTCGACAAAGCCAAAGACAATCCCATCCAGTACTTTCGGCAGTACATCACCGCTGCAACACCAACACACGCGGACCATGTTTCTGTCTACGGGTTCAGACACAACCGCCACCCAACCTCTTCACGCGAAGATGACCAGTTGCAGGTGATTGCAAAACTGCCAAGTGCTGCTAGAAGCACCCTGCTCTCGCTTAGCGGCCAGCAGGGAATTCTACTTCGGGACTTTTTGGACTCTGGCTCGCAACCAATTGACACTTCTGTCATCCCGAAGTTTTGGGAAGTTAGCCAGAAGGGCCTCAGAGAATTGTCCATCAGCATTGAAGGTGTCAAGGGCATTGCAGGTGCCATCCTCACCCGCAGAGGCCTCGCAATCAGGGCCTGGACTGCGAACATCGCCGAGGTGAGGCGGAAGCTCTTGCCAAATGATGCCAGGCTGAACGACACCAACATCGCAGTTGTTCCACGGCATATGATGGACGCTGCAGGCTGGCCGCCTGGAGCCTCGCCTGCCGATGTGATCGAGTCAGTCACCAAAGCAGTGAGCCAAGCACCCATCCCGACGAGAACCTTCCGGTCCGCCGGAGTACATACATGGCAATTGGGCTTCCAAACCCTACCACATGTCCAGACCTTCACGGTCAAGATCAACGGGTCCTTGCACCAGATCCTGTTGACTCCCACGCCATTTCACTCCAAGGGGAATGGCAAGGGGAAGCAACGCCCGCCTAAGAAAGGCTTCACCAAAGACGAGCCTCATTTTCCACCAGCAGCCACCTCGATTGCTGCAGCCTCAGCACAACAAGACAAGAAACGCATCGACCAGCTCGAAAACCGTTTCGATTCTTTGCAAAAGCAAGTCACCGGAATTGAACACAAACAGACAAGTCTCGAGAGCAAGTTGGACCAGCGGTTCAACGATATAGGTGACACTTTGAGGCAACTCGTGCAGCTCAGCACGAACCGAGCTCATGAGCCCAGCGGTGAATCCCCACCGCCCAAGAACCAGCGTATCGCATGAAAAGCCCGGGCAGTCGGCTCCTTGCATGGGTGCTTGCAGTGGACTTTTGGTCTTTTGTTGCATCTCTGTTGGGGCTCACTGCTTGTCTGTGTGTATTGGTGCGGGCTGCCGTGGACTTTTCTTCTCTGCCTTGAGCAGTTCACAACGCTGGCTTTCTCCAGATCTTTTCTTCGGTGTGAGCTGAAACGAGCTCCCGTGTTAATGCTTTGCTCCTTGGCGCTTCCTGGTTTTCGTTGTTCTTCACCTCTGTTTGTCCGTCATGCAAGCGCTTGTGAGCTGGACTTGCTCTGCAGCGCACGTTCGAGCCTTTGCACTGCATTAGGTAAGTCCACTCAATTCAAATGGGGAAGTGCTCGCAGTCATAGATCCAACAGACCTCGTGCGCTTTGCAAAAGATGCCCTCGCCGGCTCTATCACACGAGTTTTTCTGTGGCTTTTTCGGATATCACTGTCCCTCCGCCCCTTTCAGAATCTAGTTTGTTCACCATCTGGTTTCATGCCAGTCACTCGTTTGTTCGACTCATCTGGGTTGCCTCCAAGTCCTTTGATGCCACCAAAGGGTATCCTGGGGAAGGACCTCTCCGTGATGATTCTTGGAACTTATTCTCGGCCAACATCGGGTCGATCAAAACGGCCACCACCTGGAAAACATGGAATTCTGCAATCACCTGTTTGCAGGAAACACGAATCGGTAAGAATTGCATCAACAATGCCAAGCATACTGTTGCTCAATGCGGGAAAACCCTTTTCCCTGGGGCACTTTTACCTGGCCTTTTCGCTTCGAACGGTGTTATGCGAACCCCCCATGGGGGGGTTGCCATTGCTGCCCCTGCGGAACTTTGCATCCCCTTCTTGAGCAAAGATGATAATACTGGGAAGTACATTGGACTGTTTAATACTAAGAGGGTTCAAGCTGTTTGGATTCAAATCACCCCTACTTTGGAAGCTCTTGTCTTCAATGTCTACTGCAAAACGGCAGCCAGCCAAGATCGTGATGTACTCCACTTTAATAATGGCCTCCTCGCTGACATCTTTGCGGTTGCCAGTCAGTTCGGAGACATTCCTGTCTTCATTGCTGGGGATTTCCAAACCGAGCCGCTCCAGTACGAATCTGTCACCTGTGCTGTTAATTATCACCAATGGGTTGACACTATCGCTCACCTTGACCACGAAACTAATTGTAGGCCCCTAACCTTTTCCGCCAATGGGACCTTTTCAGGTTTTGGGGATGGGTGCAGCAGTATTGATGCCATCCTTGTAAACAAAGTCGCTTCGTGCGCGGTTGTCACCGCCGAAGTTCTTTCAAACTTCAATACCCAACACCGGCCTCTTCGTGTCGAGCTGTCGTGGAAACGGGTCTGGCAGTGTGGTTATGTTCTCCACAAAACGGCACCCTTTGTGTTTGAAGTGCCACCTGTCGACCTTAACCCCTCGCCCTCCGAGGACCCACCGTGGTCCATCCATGATGACATTGACCATTGTTGGAATCGCACCAATGATTCCTGTATCCAGACCCTTCTTAACCAGGGCGCTACATGGGGAAGTGGACCTCGCACCAGAGGCACACCTATTCGATTTCGCCCAAAGAAAGTTTGTCCTGGACAGAGATCCAATGGTCTAGCCACCACCTTGGTGCTCTCGTGGCTTTACAATGCTCTGGGGGGTTTACGTGAGATTGAACAGTTCTTGTCACGGAACATTGTCAGTGACACACATCGTTTCATTCAGCATCGCACTTTTGTCCGTGTTTGGAACCGCCTGGCAAGGCTCCGTGCACCCTTCCTGTGGCCATCGTCTCGGAGACCCAATCTCGCTGATGTGACCGTGGCCATTCAATGGGTCCAAGATCGCATTGCCACGCATGAAATCAAGATTAAACTACAGAGAATCACGATGTGGCAGAACAAGATCAAAGATTCGGCCAAGATTGGTTCTGCTTTCTTGTTTAAGCACCTTAAAAACAAGGTCACAACAGAACCTGCCAATCTTGTTGTCGACTCACAAGGCAACGCAATTTTCGACCCAGAACAAGCTATGTGTGAGATAAATAATCAATGGGACCCGGTTTTTAGTGCCAACATGGGTTTTCCCCATGCCTTGAAGATGTTAGAGATTGTTTGGCCTCACATCCATCATTTCCATTTGGATTACCCTGTCCCTGAGCTCAGTGCTGATGATCTTAGGAACGTTGTTAAAAAACGGAAAAAAGAGGCTGCACCCGGCCTTGACGGATGGCGCACGACCGAAATGCAAGCACTTCCGCGTGCCTGTTTCGCTTGGTTTGCGGCCTTCTTTCATAGACTTGAAGACAATCACGAGCCGCTTCCTCAAGTTCTGTCTACTGCGCGCCAAATCATCCTCAACAAAAATGGAAGCTCTGAACCATTGCAGAAGCGTCTCATTACGCTCCTTCCTGTCATTCTCCTCGCATACACTGGTGCTCGCTTTATTCATTTGAAAGAGTGGCAAATGCGCATCATGCCCATGCAGTTGCAAGGTGGCATCCCACAGAGGCATATGGCTGCCATCCACACTAAGTTTGCCCTCACTCTTGATCAAGCGCGTGCTGAGGATTGTGACCTAATAGGAGTAAAAATCGACAAAGCAAAATGCTTCGATCGTATCATCCCTGAATACGCTGCTGCCCTGATGTTGGCATTCGGAATACCCAAAAAAGTGGTTAATATTTTCCTAAAGATTTACCAGGGTATGTCTAAACACTTGTCCTATAAATCATGGATGCTGCACTTACCCACACATGGCCCCAACGGGGTAGCCCAAGGGTGTTCATTGTCGCTCATTGCCATCAATGTCCACATGAAGGTCTGGATCCACTTACTTGATGTGCTTCCCACAGTCACGGCGCAAGCCTTTGTTGACGATGCATACTTATGGACACGCCTCATCCACAAATCTGATCTTTTCCAAGCTATCCAGATCACTAAAACCTGGGACGAATTGGTGGGCCAGTCTATGAATGCCTCCAAATGCATTGTTTGGGGCTCCTCAACTGTGGCACGGAAAGCCATCAAAGACCTTTTCCCTGCCATGCAGTGCGCCCTTGAAGTTGAAATCTTGGGGGTCCACGTTCAAACCAGCAACCGCGTTGCCATGCATTTTCCTGAGGATAAGATCGCTAAGATCCTTGCCGACATACGTAATATCTCCAGCCTGCCTGTGTCTGTCGCCCACAAAGCAAAGGTGTTAGGCGCGAAAGTCTTACCCCAGTGCACGTATAATGCTGCTATTAACATGATCCCTGCCCGTGCACTTGCTCGCATACAAGGTGAAATAGTAACCACGCTATGGAAGAACAGACCGCATTGGCGTGCTAAGTTTCTGGTTTTTGCCTTTTTGAGCAAGCCACACAGGGTTGAACCTTTATGTGCAAGGCACTATGCTTCCATCATGGACGTTTGTCGTTACCTTCATTTGTTTCCTAGTGAACGAACCCGGTTCCGATCCCTTTTGGACGCACCTAATAAACATAAGCACTCCCTTGCCATTAAAGTTCAGCAAGCTTTTGAGTTCTTTCACCTTGAACTGTGCAATGATGGAACATTGGCATTGGCGGGTCGTCAGCTCTGCGCGCTGGAACAGCTGTCTCCTCGCGATGTTCGGCCTGTTTTGCAGCAACTTGCCAGACACAGTTGCTATGTAAATGCCGGCACCCAAAGCCGAAAGGACATTCGGACGCCATCGGGAATTCTAGATTTTTGGCTTTCCACTAGCTTTGCTAGGCAGAAGCATGAATCTAGTGATGATGATATCCCTGATTCTGCTTTCTTTGAAGCGCAGCTTGTGGGTTGTGTTCTCACCAAAGATCGACTGGCTGCAGCCAAACGAATTCCTGAATCCACTTGCAGGTTATGCCAGCAAACAAAAGAATCTCTTCCACATTTGGTTCGAGAGTGCCCTGAGATCCAGAAAATTTGCCCTCCACCCCCTGTGCATGAACTAGGGCCGAATTTTGAATTGCTTGGAGTCGTTGAACACCCGGTTGCAGTGCTCCAACACAGGTTGAAAGTCTCTGACCCCACAACCATTCCTCAGGTCCTTGGAATTCTAGTTTGCCCAAACAAACCGTTTGGACTGATGGGTCTGTGCAATGGCCTAATCATTTCATTCTTTCCTGTGCTGGGTACTCTGTGGTAAACTCTAACGGTGTTGTTTTACATCAGGGTGGAGTGCACCACTGGAACCTCTCCAGTTACACAGCCGAACTTTGGGCGGTAGTTGTCGCTGTTGCCACTGCCTCAGGACCACTCCAGATTCGAACAGATTGTAAGAGCATGGCAGACCACCTGGCTGACTTGCTAAAGATGAAGCATGTTGGGGAGTCATGGCCCTTGCAAACTTGGTGGCATTTTCTTGCTGGCGTTCTTCATCAACGATACATGTTTTGTGATTGTCCACTTGAATGTTTTTGGGTCCCCGCCCACGTGATGGAGGACGTCCCGGAATTCTTGTTGACACCACAAGCTGCACACCTTCATGGCACAACAGTCATTGATATTGTCAACAATCGTCGTGCTGACCATGCTGCGAAGCGTGCCGCTTTGAAGAATGCTGCGATTTTTGCTCCAATGTACGAACAGTTATGCCAGAGTGTTGTTGAGCGCCAAACGTGGCTAACACAGCTTTGTCGCATGATTGGCTCCACCTCCCCCCCGAGGGAGGTTGAGTCTGATCATGAAGCGGATGTGACAATTGCTGCACCGGAGGATCGCTTTCCGCAACTCCCATGGCATGATAAAGAGGCTGATTATTGCTGGCAAGCTCACTCCTTGGTTGGCGGTGATCCCTTGCCAGCGTGGACGGCATCTGACAACGACTGGACACAGTTTACGACCTTTGTAAGCGAGCTTCACTGGCGCTGCGGAGACGAGTACAAAACTTCATATGCTGAATTGGCCATAATGCTTGTGCAAAGACAATATAAGCTTGACTCGTTCAGTGATGAGCATTTGACATTCCGTGCGCTTATCTCCAAAGTCAAA